TGCTATCTGAAGATTTCCTTTGAAAATAACTTTTCCAATAAATGGAAAACATATCTTCTTACTAATCTATCATGCAATCTGACCTTTTGGGCTCAACCTCAACGAAAGCAGAAAGATGAAGCCAAGGCATGTAGAGGGCTCAGCGGCTGTATGTGTGAGTATTTGAGGGGGCAGCATTGATTTTGGCAGTGCTATTCTAACTTCCCCAATGCTAACTGGTCTTTTCTCCTAACATAACAGTATATTATTCTATACTGCCAAGCGTGAACCACAGAGCTCTCAGGGTGGAGAGATGGATGGGACTTCCCCAAATAAACCAGGGGATTAGCCTACAACTGGAGCTGGTCAGTAGTAGCAACAGTGAATACACACAAAACATTACTGCGCTGATTTACTGCAGAGCCATAGATCAACAGACTGTTAATAACGATGAATTAAACTTGAGTTTTGTCTTTTAGTGTCAAAATTAGATTTTGGGGTACTTTGAGGTGCTGTATGTTTGTTGAATATGATGACCAAATAAATATATGAACTGGTTATTTGCACAGGTTTCACTGCTGATCACTCTTGCCAGGAGACTGTGTACTGCACTGTCTCATATGTCACAGCAATATGGAGTCTATTTAGCGCCCCTGCTAACAGTAATCCCCCTCTTCAGAGTCAGTGTGAGGGCTGTTTGTTATGGCTAACAACTAAGCTAACCAGAAAGGAACTAGCCGCGGTGTGAACCGGCCGGCAGATGCGGGCTTCTGTTTGCTTTGCTTCACGCTGGATATCCAATGGGATATTTTTCCTTCCCGACTGTCCGATTCCGACCTTTCGCTGCAGAACAATGGAGATCGGCTGTTTATTGGTGGAGTGGTCAGGTGTTTACAAGAACTGTAAGAGAAACCAGAAGCACATTCCTGCTGGGATTAAGTCATCATGGGTGCTGTAAGAGACAGAGCTCCTTGTTGAATCCCGCAGAGGGACAGAGAGACACCAGTTTCCCTCATACTCACTGTATGAAGGAAACTGGTGTTAAGTATTCATTCCTTCCTCTCCAGCCATTCCCAGCAGCCACCAGACCGTCCTATATGACACATCACACCACGCCACACTGCCGCCTCAGAGATGATTGGCCACTGGTAGGTCACTTTAGTCAATACCATCATAGCAAGACTCAGTGAGTTTGTTATTAAAGGGAAAAACTCACTCATAAAAAGGCAAACATTTATTTGTTTCTCAAACACAGACACACGCTGGCACCCTGCGACAATGACATCACAGCTTTTCCTGTGTGTGGGACAAGGGTGGCGGGAGAGTCAGAACAACTGAAACTGACATCATGGACTTCCTCCCTCATTAGTGATTAATTATCCAGAGGTAAAGAGTCGCACGTAAAGGATAGGCGGGGCGGCACACAGATAATGAATAACCTTTCATCCCTCCCTGCCACGAGTGCGCGAACACACGTAGGGACAGTGTTCAGACATAATGAGCAGAGATGTTCAGGGTGTGGCTGAGAACAAGAGAAAACTGCTCTGGATCTGGTGATGTGCAATATGTTTCACTACCTTCTTTAGTCATCGTTTATTTGTTTTGGTTAGCCATTTTCCTAAATTAAGCTACCTAGTAGTGTGAATTTATAGATTTTTATTTTATATATCTTATTGATTTATTTACCTGAGTAGCCTTATTATAACTGCTGAGTTCTTATATTTATTTGCTAACTTTTCTTTTCACAAAAAGATCTTTATTGTGTCCCAATTCAACACTACACATTAACATTATCAAGTATAATGTGTACAATAATGTACATGCACTGTAGCAGTATTTTGAAGGTTTAAAAAAACGTATTTTGATTTATCTGTTTATATATTGTCTATTTACTGAAATACATAGATGTTGTATACAGTGCGGAGTGTGTCACACTTCAATCAAGTTTGTGACTGAGTGGACACAAGCAACAACTTTAAATTCAAGAAACATCATAAATAGCAGGTAAACTTTTTTTGAGCTGCTACTGAAGTCACTTCACTACAATTAAATTGAGCTCACCATTTCAGTTTCCTGTTGAACAATCCAACAATGCAGAGCATATAACTAACAAAATAAAGAATTTTTAGGATGCATGTTGGCAGTTTTAGTATGCTTATTTTGTACTTTGTCTGGTGCTAAGGTAAGACACCATTATTAGTATACTACATAGTATATATCTTTATTAGTATACAGCTGTATTGTATGATCTTGACACCAAGAATGATGTCAAGTATGTGAAAACATCTGTAAACTGAGTGCTGAATCATTCTCTCAGTACAGTAACACACATCACTACTGTAGTTGTATGTCACACAGTGTAATTTACAGTTACAACCTTACACTCCAACAAAAAATGCGCCCCTCCTGTGGGTGACTGACTGCATGGCCAAACGCCCCCTCAGTGTGGCAGCGGCAGGGTCACAACGTGCCCCAGGGGCCTGGGTAAACACTGGCCAATCCAGCCAACACAAGCGCCACACTGGGTTGTGCAAGGCAGCCGTGGGACATCTGGCCACATCACAGCGCAGCGTTCCTGCTTTATGAGCAACAACAGCCGTAACTCTGAGAATAGAAGTGGCAGCAGTAAACCCAATGGCCTGCTGGAGAAATGCTGACTGTGGAGAAAAGAGCAGTAAGACATGGGATGAAGCAAGAGTGTGTGTGTGTGTGTGTGTGTGTGTGTGTGTGTGTGTGTGTGGCAAGAATGAAAAGATGGAATCAGAGTCAGAGAGTGAGATGAGAAAGTGCTGAACAAGGACCAAAAGGCTAAGGACGTTTTATTGAGCGGGCATCGAGCTTTGCCCTTATAAGGTCATTGTGTGTATGTGAGGAAATGGACACAGCCGTCTCTGATTTCAGGTCCAAAGCCGCTCAATCAGCCCCTTTGTTTATCATTAGGGCTGCCACTAATGATTATTTTCATGATCAATAAGTCAGTGAAAAGTTTTCAGAGCCCAGAACCCAAGGTGACATCTTCAAAATGTTTGAGTTTTTGTCTCAGGGGCAGATCTTCAGGGATAAAATAATGCCTGGCCACCCCAGCTGCCACCCCAGTTTGGTTAAAAAGGTGTAAACGAACACATAACTTAATGATCTGTTATGGTCACATTTTAAACTAAGTGACAGGCTTAAGTTCAACGAAAAAGACATGTATTTGGAAACGGTCTAAAGATTTGGAAGTTAAACAATTTATTGATTTCTAATGCCACCTTTATTTATTTCTATTTAGAGTTACTTATGTTCTACAATAATGTAATGTTTTTGTAATTAAAACATCTTCATTTGGGGGCTTTTCCTAGCAAATCTTGATATATATGTATTTATATTGATTTTGTGCCACCCCTTAAAGTCTCCACTCCACCCTCTTGCCACCCCATGAATATTTATCTTGATACACCCCTTGACCAACTATCCAAATGCACAAACCCAAAGATATTCAAATTACAAAGGCAGCAAATCTTCAGAGTTAAGAGGCTAGAACCAAAGAATGTTTGATAAATGACCCAACTGATCAACCGATTACTATAATTGTTTTGGGCTGATTTTTGGTTGATCGACAAATTGTTTCAGCACTACTTATCTCCATCACTCCTCCTGTCACCCAGCCCGCGCTTTCTACTCACTTGTCTGCGTCACATGTCATTCCAGGGTCGACTATGTCAACTAATTCTCCATTACGAGACCTCAATGGCGACCACTCCATCTTTGCTGAACCGGCTGTAAACTACACCAGTTCCCACACCTATCTATCTGTGGTAACCCATTAGGGTTTACTGGCCGACCCCTGACCTTGGCTGGGGTCGTGGCCAGGGCCTTCATTAGGGGATAAATCATAAACACCTGAGCGGCTGACCTGGGTGCAGCACTGGGCTGCAGTCATGTGGTATTAATTTTGGGTCGCGGTGGCGTGTAAATCGGGTTAAACCAGCGCCTGCGACCCTCGGGGCTCAGAGCACATATTAAAAATGTGACCACAACCCACTCACTATGTGTCAGAATGTGTGTGAGTACGTGTAAAGTAGTTATGAGAAACCTGGCTCCACCCGTGAATGAATATGACTTTATATAGAGCATGTAATTGAATACAGTCCAACTACGGTTTACCTTCTGATTTACTGCTTTATCGTCGGTTTAACCTGTTACTCAAGCTGAATGATGACAAGATATTCTCACAACATAATTTTAAGTTAAAAAAAACTGTGACGTATGATATGATATAATCATTGCTAACTGCCAAAATAGTTCATTAACAGGCCATCTGGGAATTATTTACTTCAAATATTGTATCACATGAACATTGTCACAATGGCACAATGTTAAATCACGATAAATTTAAGCTCGTCTCATAGGGTATATATCAATATTTCTGGGGTCCATAATTGATTAATAACCAGTGCTTTAAATTGTGATCTACCCTATCTAATCTAAAAAAGGACTGTGGGACTTGATAAATGTCCAAAATATGCAGCCTTAGCAATGAAATGGTAAACTACTGCTTTAGGAGTGCCTCCAATATTCCTTTATAATTAGCAGCATATTGCCAGATGTTGTTCTGCAAAAATAATCTTATTTTATTATTGAGCTTTATTTGTTAAACTTTACGTTTGAGTTATATTAAAGCGGCCTTGAGGAACTTCCATTTCTTTTTATTCTGGCGCTCCGTGTGGACAAAAGCGGTAGTGTTTCCACTGCCTTGTTTCATCTGATTTCAAATGTAAACTCTTCTTAAGAATAACTTTATAACCCATTAAAAACTCCTTGTAGTAATTATATTTGGACAGATAAAATAATAGTTTAATCAACCTTTGTTATCAGTTTAATCAAAAACAAAGCTCAGCCCTAATGCAATCTTTTAATAATGCACTCTAAGCAGCGTACACTCTCGTCTTCTCTTCTCCTCTATTACTATCAGATGCTGCAACAACCACGACTTGGCGGTGTCATAGAACAGCAGGATGAGCGTCGTGCTGTGAGCTCACCTCTCCTCGGGCTCTCGTGGTTAAAGAGGATCCCGTTGACAGCAAACATGTTGTAGGCTTCTCGAAAGTTCACCACGATCCAGTAGGCGTAGAGCTTCGCAGCACCTGAGACACACAGAGGAAACGGAGTGACAGAAGCATATAATTACCAAACATTCAAACAGAAAAGTGAGGAGATATCACTTCATGTAAACCCCTACAGTCTTTTCAGATAGACAGTCGTTCCTCTGCAGGCTATGAAAATGCACAATCAGACTTTACACACTCTTGTGATGCTTTTATTCACTCAGTCAAGTGTTCAACAGTTCAATCTTACAAATGAAGTGACAATCCTCTCTTCTCAAAGCTGCAGAAAGACCTTAAAAGAGAGAAAGATTCTGTGTTGTAACTACACTACATGTCATAGTTGAACACAGCGGTACCACAGATCATATTTCACCGTCAGGAACGTGAACCACAGACTCCTGCTGATTGACCAAAAGCAGGCTTGTACAAAAAGTTCTCCCCTCTTTTCCTCTCACCATCCTCCTCCTCCTCCTCCTCCTCCTCCTCCTCCCTTCTCCTGTAATGAGGGGAATACCAGAGTGAGTAAAGGGAGGCGCCCGTTGATTAAGCCGTAGGTCAGGATGTACACTGGAGGTTAAGGGAGGTCGCCATAGTAACCCCAGCCTCCCTCCTTTCCAAAAGTCTAATTAATAGAGGAGCAGCCCTCCTCAGGATGGTATGCGCCTCCCATGCAGCCTCAGATTGAGCGCTGACAGATGGGGAAAGTGTCAGTGAGGAGAGCATTTAGACAACAGAGAACATGAAACCCGATCGCTCACACACGTGTACAGCCTGCATGTGTGTGTAAGTGTGTGTGTGTGTGTGTGTGAGTGTGCGCTGAAAGTGAGTGCTGAGTGCTGTGGATATAAAGGTGTCTTTGTTAAAGCGAGAGCCACTCCACTCTTCAGTCAGACGTTTGGCCTCGGGGTGTGTGGAGAGCTCAAAAGCTGCCTGAGCACTGAAGCCCACCCTCTATTCACTTACTCACAAGCGCACACACATATACACACACACACACACACACACACACACACACACACACACACACACACACACACACACACACACTTATTCACAAGGAAAAAGTGCAGCAGAGGTATCAAGCTATCGGAGTTTGTATTCCCTTACATGGCCATACGCAACCGCTGGACAAATGGTGCAAGGTAGAAACTGTTAGGTAATCTGTGTGTGTGTGTGTGTGTGTGTGTGTGTGTGTGTGTGTTTCCACATGAATCTACAGCACATTACGTATGTGTGTATTACCGTAAGGTGAGCGAGGGTAGAAGGGCGTAGTTTCCTTCTGAGGGATCTCTTGAACTTTGCCGTACAGCTCACTAGTGGAGGCCTGGTAGAATTTTACGCTGTTGGTCAGACCGCATGTCTTTATGGCGTCCAGGAGACGAAGCGTACCTACACCATCCACATTAGCGGTGTACTCGGCCAACTCGAAGGAGATCTAAGAAAGAGGGAAAGAGAAAAAGACACTTAGAATTTATACTAATTCTGGGAAGTATTCATACAAAAAGAGCTTTGAACCTGAGAAATAAGATTTGGACTGGTTTTTGCTCTCTCAGTAACAAAAATGAGGACTTGAGACTTGAGACTGCTCAAAACATGAGTGACAGTTTTGACCTGGTGAAATCCCAGAAAAAGAAACAAAGAAATAATATTGCGACAGTCAGGCTCTGCATTGCCACACAGTCTGCATAGTTTCTTATTAGGCCTGTGCACATAATGTACTTTGTTTTGGTTAAATATATTATATATATTTAAAAAAAACCTTTGGAAGTTAAATGTTTAAATGATGTGTTATGTCAATGATCAGCTGTCAGAGTGAGAGCTAATTTCTTTTGAAGACAGGATTAAAGTTAACATTGTCTTAAATTTATGACCTTTTTAAAGACCATTATGGATGTAATTTATGACGGGCAAAAAAAAGGTACAAAGGATATGAAGGAAAATTGGTATTGGTTACATTTTAAAGAAAAACTTCATACAATCCAATCGAATTGTAAGACCTTTCAAAACATATTTAAGACACCGTGGAAGGTGTGATTTGACTGATTTCACACTTGAATTGGTTTTGCCCAAGAGAATTGAAAATAGTTTTGCTGTGAACATATTAGATTTGATGTATTTTAACAGCTAACTTTATCACTAATCAACTTTCAAAACTGCTATCCCAAGTTCACACCAACTTTTAGTAATTACATGGAACAAATCACAAATATACCAATACTGATGTACAGTGAGGGACAGAATTCCCAGGTCTCAGGTTCTAAAGTACCCTTTGATACCCTGATACCCTGATACCCTATTGCCAAATGTGAAAACAAAATGATGCCAAAGCAATCGATCAAAAGGTCGCTACCTTTGTTACATCACATAAAAACTAAATTCCAGATCACATTTCACACAAAGCCACCAAAATCTTCCCCAAACGAAGGTGGGGGGGACAATGACTGAGAACATAATCGAGGAATGTGTTGTCCATCAGAGCCGGTCAGAAATGTCACACCTTGAACTAAATACTCCAACTCCCAGAATGCCTGTTTCCATTGCTGAGAGCCAAGAGGGGAGGGAGCTTAATGAGCACTTGAAATGGATGTGTGCGTGCATGATTGTGTGACACTGTGCGCTTGGACTGTGTGTGCCTGCGTGAGTGCCAGGTTGGCCTCGGGCTCCAAATCAGGCGTGACGGTTAAAAGCCGTGCTGCTTAGTGGTCACCACACCTGGAGCGAGTGGCATGAGCCACGTCTGTACGGAGGAAACGCTTTGGCCCTTTAGTGCTTCCACACCAGCCCTGTACACACGGCCAGATAAAGACCCCTTATTTGAAGCTGGGACCAAAGAACACTGGGCCTCTATTCCACTCAAAGTCCACACACACACACACACACACACACACACACACACACACACACACACACACACACACACACACACACACACACACACACACACACACACACACACACACACACACACACACACACACACACACACACACACACACACACACACACACACACACACACACACACACACACACACACACACACACACACACACACACACACACACACACACAGTGAGCAGGTTTGATCAGGTTCAATTACACTCCACAGCTCAGTGTAATTACCTGTGACGCTCCACTCACGCTTTAACTTTGCATTCTGGCATTTACATTGACATCATTTTCAAGAGAAGGTGAGGTGACGGTTTATGCACCAGCTTGTACTGTAAGTCACGTTATGATGTTCTCTACAGCAAAACTAAAAGGGTGGACACAGTAATGGCAATACTTGTAGAAACCAACCCAGAAACCTGTTGAATAAATGTCTCTCTGCAAAAATGTATTCTGAAATAAAACTACTACTACTACTACCTGATGTAGTGAAACTTCAAATCTTCAAATTTACAAACATGTGGTCAGTGCAGCAAAAAACTGATTCTGATGTAATAAATCTATTCATGTGTACCAAAAACATAGCACTGTGATCGGAACGGGTATAATTAATCATTCTGAGCAGACCTGAATCGATCAGATATATTTCCATATTACCTAGCCAACATAAAATGTATCAAGTTATCTTTCAGTTTGTAAAAATTCAAAAAGTACAAAATCCATTCAGAAACTGAATTCTCAAAAACCCTTACTCAGTCTGCCAGAAAAGCTGAAGTATTTCATTTGTAATGACTTGAAATAGAGAGAAACAATGTATTTCTTTGCATTTTAAAACTGTACCCAGTAAATGTCTGATTATAAAAGGACTAAAACAAAAGCTTTTAATACTTTGTTACAGCATTTTCCATGAGCAAGCATTTCTATATCAGTACCAAGGTTTCCATCCAAATGTACCACAAAAAGTTCCAGAAAAATGGGGAAAAGAAAATGCTAATTATTTTGTTATTATTTAGCGTTTCCATCCGTTACTATCGTGTGAATATTAGGAGTTGAGTGCAGTGAAACACTGCAGAAGAGGGGGACGAACGGTGGAAAACAATGTTCTGTCTGTTTCATGTGAGGAACGTTACAGTCTCACAGACAGATCTGATGTTTTCATCTGCCGCAATTTTCCGTCTCTTCAGTGGACCGTTATGTCACATGCTCTATGAATATAAGACCATTTGTATTGTTTGTTGGTTTTTCAAATTGTCACTTAATGTAATGTGTCACTATAAGGAGACTACACTATGGACAAAAATTAGCACTGAATGTTTTGTAATGTTGTTTACCATTTTATTGAAGCACAATTCTTGGACTTTGACTTGTGTTTAGACAAGTATGGATTATTTTATAAAGTAAAAAAATAAGGTTTTTGTCAAAGTATAAAAAGTATTAAAACAAGTATAAAAATGACATTGTCAATATTTTCTCTTTTCTCTTTATGTAAGTTTTGAATTAAATGTCGTTCAGGCCAGGACTGGTGCAGCCGGCGTCAGAGGATACTGGCTCCTGATGAAGCTAAACCTGAAGCAGACAATACCTGCCTTCATGTTCAGTCAAGGGGAGGGGGGGGACATAATGTAATCCCAGCACTCACAGGTTCTGCTCTTCCTCCGTCACTGTGGAGCTCCTCCCCTCCTCCACCTCTTCCTTCCTCACACATTTCTCTCCCCCTGCTTTGTCACTGCTCCCTCTCCCTGGACCTCATAAACCTTATTTTATGCTACAACAGTACCTCCCTCCCAGATATCCCCTCTCTGTCCTCCTGTCTGTGTGTGAGATCCTCCGTTCCTCTTGTTTTTCCAACACTGAAGAGGTCTGTGTCTCACACACACACACACACACACACACACACACACACACACACACACACACACACACAGACACACAACAACAGACAGACTCCAGGTATCAAAACCAGCTGAGAGGGGCAGGGTCCAGGACGCCTTGACAACTTAAATCAAACAAATTGCCTTAATGCCTCCATTCTCTGTCATTATGTAA